GGATTGTATTTGCAAAAAATTGGAAAAATGAGAAAATTCCATTGCAGGAAGAAGTCATAAAGAAAATATTGGAATGTGCTGAGATGAGTAGATTGACTTTTGAAATCAGAGAGCAAGAAGATAAACAATTTTATATAGTTTGGGATCTTTTTTACCAATGGTTGAATGATGAAATACAAAAATAGAAATGTTAGACAATAAGGGATAATATTGATTTCATTTTTCTTTTCTCTTTTTTGGTACTGGATATTATATTTATATAATAGTTTTCTGTTTCTTTTTTTTCCTCTTATTTAGGATAGAATTGGCACGATTATATGATTTGTTTTAGAATAAATTACTTAAAATATAGTTATCTCACAAAGGCATGATCGAATAAAAGTTTAGTCAAACTTCTTTTTTTAATAGTGATATTATGATTTATAAGTTTGTATTGACAATAAGAGTTATTATATAAGGTAATTGTAATTGTGACTATGAGATGAGTGCACAAAACTGATGAACCAACCGACTCACTGTTTGTATATAAATATGGGGGAGCTGATGTTTTTATGTTTTGTCTGTTTGTTTGTATGTCAAAAAACAATAAAAACTTAAAAAAAAAAATAATTCAGACTGTTGTCATCTGGTCTATGGTTATTCTGGGAATTAAACTTTTTTTCTTAGTTTTAAAGAAATCTCTTCCATACAACACGGAAATACTAATGGCAGATATATTGATAATATGAACATTTTAACTAATTATTGAATTGTTTCCAATCTCAGTCACACTTATCCATTTGGTCACATTAGTCATAACTATTTTATGTCAGTAAATATACTTTGGATCCAATCCATTACATCAAACAGTCACCCAGTAAAGAGAGTGATTACAACCACAACATTTGTTTAATCAGAAAATTTGGAACATTATATAGATCTCAGTGTTCTATTTTCATTCTTTCTCTTGCACATCTTGATATTCAATTTGTTGAGTGCTTTTCATTTAGAAAGCATTCATGAGAATGCATGACTGGATGCTGAAAAAACAGGATTTTTGTGGGAGTATAATATTCTGGGTGATAAAATTTAAATAGTGTGTGTGTGAGAGAGAGAGAAGGAGAGAGGGAGAGGGAGGGGTCGAGGGAGAGGGAGGGAGGGAGAGAGAGAGATTTGATCATATATCTTTTATATTCCATTCACAATTTTCTGAATCTTTTCTCTTAGCAAAACCTCATTATTCCTGGATGCTTCTTCATATTAAACATGTAAATATTGAAAAGTATGCTATGTTTAAAAAGTGAATTGATTTTTTTTAAAGTTATGTAACTGACTTTAAACAAATACAAATCTTAGCTAATGTCAAGGAAACAGTGTAAAATTATTCTAATTATTCTAAAACTATTGGACTATCTGTTCTATTTGCAATATAAGATTTCAGCAAACAGCAAACTGTCCACATTGTTAGTTATCCTTTTTTTTTTTTTTGAGGTACTTTCCAGTTTTGACCAAAGAGTTTATGAAAAAAGCAGGCTATATCAGAGAAGTTAGCATTCTAGCATATTAGTAAAATTTTCGAGATACTTTAAAAGGCTGCTAATAAGAGTCAGGTTTTCCTGTAAGCCAAATGTTAAAGCTATATATAGGCACCAGTGCACTCAAAGCCCTTAATATGCTGATATTTTGTATAATAAAATAATAAAAATAAAAAACAATCATTTGCAAACATGCATTATATCGTGTAAAAATGTGATCTCACAAGTTTCAATGCTGTGGAATGTACTATACACAATTAATACATAAAATGCCATGCATTTAGACATTATTTTCCAGATTGACTTTAAAAATGATAACACTAGTAATCAATCATACCATTATGCATAACTATCATGTATACTGCTACATTAAAACACTGCATTCATTGTAGGAAATCGCACTGAAACATAACAACATCTTGAATTACAAATTCTACAAATTTTGAGCTACCACAGAATTCTGAAACAAACAAATAACACCACACAGTAAAACTAATGGAGTTTGGGTCTTCTCTATTTGACTAGAGCTTATAAATTAGATACAAGAACATCTCAGAAATTCTATGACATTATAGTCATATTCAAAATTATAGTGAAATATAATGAAAATAATATAGATTTTTAAAAGAGCAATGTGAACAATATTTCACTGATTTTGATTCCATGCAAAGGTCTATAGCCTTCTACTGAATAAAATTAATAAACATGTTATTTCATCTTTGTGATTTGTGAATACACTGTATTTACTGTTATATGCACGCAAAACAAATAACTATCTGTTTTGTTGTGTAGAACCTCTAGTTTTTTAAAATCGTATCATCTAGATAGTAGTTCTGAAACTGGAGGCAATTTGTGCATATTTTGGGGCTCCATGGAATGATTTGTAATTGTTGTGGTCAGAACAGTAATGAGGACTCATTTTAGGCTGCCACTGCAGAGATGCTTGTGTAATATAAGAGCCTGTTTCTGTGTGTGTGGAGATAATGATATTATTTGAGACTGGCAAAAAGGGATAATTGAGTCAAACAGTTTAATAACCACTGATCTAGAAGTATAGTACAAAAAGATATACCCTGTGCAGAACAAGATTCATAGGAAATCTCATTTCCTATTTTTGAGAGATACTTTTGTGATTTTGTTTCTTCACAATAAGATATGTAAAAAAACAAAACATGGATTACGGAGTTGTCTTTTTCTTGAAATTAATAACTACATCTTTCAGAAAAAGAGACAAATGTGAACAAGTTTTTTTTATGTCATCAGGTTTTCTATAAAAAAACAGGAAGAATGTGTTGAGCTCATTGCTCATGCCCTTAACTTCTTAGCTTTGATTCTTGGCAAGCACCGTTTAAGTGTTCTATAATTGCTGAAATTTTAAAAAAAACAAAACTATAATTTAATTAAATAAGAATTATTTATTATAAAACCTTGTTTATTCAAAAGAAAATATATTTATTCATTACATTTCTATATTGCTATTTTGTCATTAAACCCAGCTTTTCAAAGTGCTTGCCAAAACCTCTGATACATGAAATAGATTTTTTCTTCTTTTTTACATTCAAACAGTATATCAACACTAAAAATGAGAAGCGATGTAACAAAAAATTAACAAACAAAAACAAGTACTTGTTTTAAGAAAAGCGTAGCTTGGAAAACTCAGTGTCCAAAAAGACATTACATTCTATTCAATTATTGAAATAGAGACCAAAAATAAATTTTAAAACCAGTGGTCCCCAACCTTTCTGGCTTGGTGGCCTGACAGTGGGTAGGGGTGGGGGAGAGGGGATAGTTCCCTGTAAGTGGGCAGATGGACATGCATGAGCGCGCACAGCTCCATTTGTGTAAATGGGTGGCATGCACGCTTGCCCCTCACGCAAAGGGAGTTTCACGCATGAGGGCAAGCGGCCCCTGCTTATGGAGGGGAACTTCATGTATATGCCCGCATTCACCCGCCACTTGTGCAGCCATGTTCCAAACAGGCCACAGCCCAGTAGTGGTTGGGGACCTCTGAATTAAAACTATGACTAAAAAGATTCTCTGAGAAATTTCAGTTGGGTTAATTATTCAGTTAATACTATTTCCCACTAACAAGATGTGTTTTCCAAACTTTGTCTTATGTAATCTGGTATCTAATAAGAATTAGATATTCAATTAAGTTAGAATTCCATAATAATTTATTATTTCTCTTAGTCTACTTAGTTATTGCATCCCACTATATGCAAAAACAATCTAATTTCTTTGTTTTTAAGCATCTCGCTAATTTTGTGCTCTGCTTATTTTTAACACTGTCCCTACGAAAAGGATAAATATATTTATATCCTAATTCGTCCTCCAATAAGCTCAAAGTGCCTATAATGTTGTTTACAAGCAGATTTGATAATGCTTCAACTGAAAGATAGGTCAGATTTTAGAAAATGTTCAAGATATAAATAAACTGGCCCAATTTTTGACTTGTCCTTTTTTATGTTCAATATTGAATGTGCCATAAAACCAAAAATGTTAAGACAAATCCTGTCAACATATATTATTTTCATATTAAAACTACAAAAAAAGTAAACCATAAAGCTTTAAGTAAAATTATATCAATACATATCATCAATACATATAATCCACATTTATAAAATATAATCAAAATATAACCAAACATTCAACAGTGAACCCTATTTCCTAATCTATTTGAATAACACAATGAAATGTGATGAAACAGAAGCAGTCATGTTCGGATCAGTTGCCAATACATTTCCTTCTTCTCAGAGGTGGTATTCAGCAGGTTCTGACCAGTTCTGGACAACCGCTAGCGGAAATTTTGAGTAGTTTGAAGAACTGGCAAATACCACCTCTGACTGGAGATTTTACAGTATCCTTCCCCTGCTACGCCCACCAAGCCATGGCCACAGAACTGGTAGTAAAAAAAATTGAATCCTACCACTGCTTCCTGTGGTTCTGGTGCAAACTAAAATTTTGTTGACAAAGAGTTAAAAGGGCCACAAATATTAGATCCCCACTCCCATTTTCTAAGTGCCTGATTCTAATTTTTACTAGACAATTTGCTGAACAGCAATATCTATGACCATTGAATTAAAGAAATTAAATATTAACAATATTTTTGAATATTGTCAGTCAACAGAAAACAAGTTTTTGACATTTTGCACATATGCTAATTTATTGTTACCCAAACCTCCATGGTCCAGTTGCCACTTTCGCCAGATGGAAAAATAACAAAAGTAGTAGTGTTCAGTTAAACTATCTCAATTGTGAATGAAGTGTTGTTATCAGCATACTGAGGACTTTTGCAAACAACAACAACACATATTCAAACCAAACCAAGCCATGGTATCTATGCTGAATCAACAGATATTTACGTATATAAAAACAGGCATGTGTAATATCAGTGAAGCAAATATAAAGCTGATATGGAAAAAGCAACAAAGGTAATAATGATCACCAGCACAAATGACATAATGTTGAGAAGTCTTTCTTTTATACCTTTCTTGTTCTGGTGAATGCAAACTAGTATCAGGCTTCAAGCAGTTAGTACTAGCACTCCTAGCCCTGTCAAGCGAGGGCTGCAGTTCACTAATGCATCCAATGGAAGAGAAAAGAGAAGAAAAACAAAAAGAAAAAAACAAAGAAAGGAATAACATGTTAGATATTAAATCAAAGTAATGTTCTTTCTACACAAGATGTTAAGTCACAATAAAGTCATGGAGACACAATGGAACAGGTTGGATGAAATATGGCAAGAAGATTGTTCAAAAAATATATTTAAAAAATAACAACTAAATTGGGTTGCATAAAATGGTATCATATACTGCAATCTTATCCTATGAAGTCAGTCTGTTGGCTTCCATAAGCAAAATTACAGCTCAGCAGTGGATAATGAATACCAATATAAAATTGGAAAGAAAATATGAAAATAAATATATATGTTATCATTATTTATTTGAAGGAAAACAGAACACAAAATGATGAGATTCCATTGGTTTGAAAGAAAAGGATATTCTACCATGAAAACAATTATTTAAAATAAATTAATACAGGGAAAGATGCTTTGTCTGAAACCTTACCTAACCAACAGTCCTTCTGTAAATCTTGATACATGTGAATTAAGGCAATTAGGATGAAGTGAATTATCCTGACTAAGCACTGATTTGGCCTTAATATATGCAGGCAGGGTTGAGCTTCACAATTCAAAATAATTCATGAAAAAGAAAAAAAAGTAAGTTTCACAATGAATGCAAATCACACAGGAAGAAAAAAGAAAGAAAATATATACAAACTTAAAATATCCAAAACATCAATGTGGTATAAGTATCAGGGATTCAGAGAAAATGGGTGTGATGAAAAATAGCCCTAGGAATACTCTAAGAAAGTAGTCCATTCGATTCATTAGGAGATAGAGATGTTTAAGTATGGATAAGTTTATAGATTCCAGCTACAAACCTGTTCAGCTGTGCAATGAATACTTATTTTGGCAAATAACTTAAATGGGGTTAAAGTTGGATCAAACTGCTTTGCTACGCAGTGAGCTATATTGTTATCTAACAAGCTAAGACAAACATAAAGTTATGTTCAATTCATGGTGATACAATAGACACATTCAAGTAGTTTTATCGACATTGTGGATGTGGTTTGTTGTGATTTCTTTTTGTTCTTTTACATTTCTGTGTCTAGTAGAAGTTGTCCCTGACTTAAATTGGGTCACTAAGTGATGCCAGGCATAAAATGATTGTGATCGAGTTTATGATCTTTTTCGCAGCAGTCATTAAGCAAGCCAGCTTCTCCCATTGACTTTGCTTGTTGGAAGCTATCTGGGAAGGTTGAAAATGGCAATCACATGACCCAGGACTTTGTAACTGTTATAAATATACGCTGATTGCCGAGAACCTGAATTGCAATCATATGACTGCAGGGATGCTGTGACAGTCATTGTAAGGACTGGTCAAAATCACATTTTTTTAAAGCTATGTCGTAATTTAGAATGTTCACTGAACCAATGGTCATAAGTTGAAAACTGCCTATATAGAAATCTGCTATTTCATGATAATCTTCCACACAAAAATTTAGGAGGATTAATCCTCCTTAGTTTCTATAGATCAGCCAAACAAGCTGGGTACTGCAACCTATAAGGCCTTTAAAAGAAGGTGTGGGTGTGTGGTTATGTGTTGAGATAGAGAAGCTGATTGACAAGTTCATTCAAAAAGTATCTCCTTTTTTCTCTGGAATTCTATGTGAGAACTTTTATGTGACAGCAACAGATTTCTTACCTGTAAAGATTCCAGTAAGTGCCATTCTCAAATAAAGGCATCTTGGGAGGTAGTGATTTGTAATGCCTAACAGAATTTCTTGAATGTGACAGAAAAGAAAGGGGAAACAGCCATGCAAGAAACAAAAATATATAGGCAGATATGAAAACAGCACTAGACAAAACAGTAAATTATGATGCAAATGACTTACACATTCGTGTAAGTCATTTGCATTGTTTGTTGGCAAGTATCATTAATAATTACATCTACCTGGCCCACTGGAGCAGGTATGTTGTGGTCCTAATTATCAAGGACGTACACTTGGTAGGATCTTTAAAAAGGACATTCTCTGTGGTGGCTTCCTCTCTTGGCAATATCCTCCTCCTCCCAGAGATACGATTGGCCCCTATCTTGTTGCTTTTCTGCAAGGCCTTGAAGACATGGTTTTGTCAGCAAGCTTGGGGAATCTATTCAGGGCCAATCAGGTGACTTGTCCGATGCTATTGTCGCCTACATGGGGTGGCGGGCCAGTTAATTGTATATTTTTAAACATATTTTTAATGCTATACAGTGGCCTGGAATCCCTGTGTGTGAATTGGACAGCTACATAAATTTGTTTAAAAATAAATAAATAATTTTAACAGTACTTGCCAATTTAATTAATAAAGTTTAAAGTCCAACTATCTACTTAAGTTGTACTGCATCAAAGAAAAACAATAGCAACTCACAGTTACTGAATTGTTCAGGAGAGCTTTATTCTTCAATTGCCCATATTTTAGCATAGTTCTCAAGTTTATCTTTCATGTATGTATGTATATAAGTATGTATGTATGTTTGGATGTATGTACATTAATAAAATAAAATTGTGAGGATAGCTTGCATCAGATAGAGCAAAGTATTTAGGAATATAATCATTACATTGATTTGTGTATAATACTTTCCACATCTAATATTTTTTTAGATGTGACTACCAGGATTTTTTTCCACTCCACCCTCACCTGTGAAAAACATAAGCTTTTGCAAGTTCACTCCAGGTTTCGCATAGGGCTTACCCTGCAGTATCGGGGGGTGGGGGTGGGGGGTGAGGCATTTATTGCTATTCTTGTTTATACTGCCTTCCTGCTAATATCACAGAGGCAGATATTTATTAATAAATTTACAGTTATGGATCAAAAAGAAGAAAGCAATGTTAATTGCAAGATCTCCAAATAAAAGCCAGTTCATGGCAAATGTTAAGTAGGCTTGTGTAATGGTCAGATGTCGTGTGGTTTCTGACCATCACTGTTTTGATCCCTTTCATGTCTTAATCATTTAATCAGAAATGCACAATTGGATAACTTGAGATTAGGAGAGAGAGTAGCTCCATCTGCCAAGAGTGATGGAAAGGGCATTTGAAAGTACACATACGGTTGTTTAAATTTCAGCATTCATAAGGACTTTGGACAGGAGATGTTACAATCTCCTAGTGGATATCCTCAAAGGTAGAGAATCTAAGGGTCCGTGTGTGAGGTATAAACTTAAAACTTTGGGGGATGGTAAAAGGTGGATACATCAGTTCATTGTAACAGAAGGATGAGGTGTTAAGTATATCCCTTTGGACTGTACATGAGGTTGAAACCCTCTGCTATCTCTATGAAGGAGAGTACTTTTGTCCATAAAGTTTTGCAATGAACTAAGAACATTTAATTTTACATCCAACATGATCAGTATGTATAAAGCACAAAACTCAAAATAAAGTAAAAAAACCTAAACAAATAACTATAAAGAATGCAACATAGAATAATAACCCTGCCACACATTTGAAGGCCTATTTTTTGCTTGTAGTTACAGTGCTTGCAACTGATCAATTGCTAGGTATGAAATTTGTCCTAACAGAAGCTATCCAAATCTAGATATGACAGCAGAGGTGGTATTCAGCAGGTTCTGACCAGTTCTAGAGAACTGGTAGTGGAAATTTTGAGTAGTTTGGAGAACCAGCAAATACCACGTCTGACTGGAGATTTTACAGTATCCTTCCCCTGCGACGCCCACCAAGCCACGCCCACAGAACCAGTAGAAATTTTTTTGAATCCTATCACTATGGCAGGTTATATAAATATAGGAAACAGCTACTCAGATCCATAGATTTGGATACATTAAACTCAATCATTGTATTGACTGATGCTTCAGTATAAGAAAACTTTTAAAAATAATTAAAGAATTAGACAGCCTTTTATCTGCAGTGGGACTAAGGAATACTAGTTTCTTGGGAAACAGAATGATTTGTAAAATAAAAAGAAAAGATGTGAAAAACATACACCAGAACTATTTATAACCAAGCTTATTTACCAAATGCCTGTATTTACCTGGTTGTATGTAGGCACTCTGCACTTCTTCCTCGTTTTGCCCTGGGCAGCATAAGAAGCTCACTGCACAGACAGGATTGGACGATGAATGAAACAGTTACATAAATATGAAGCATTAAATAGCATGAATTATGCCATGATATGTAAATGAAAACACAAAATAAGCTAGAAATTCTGAACTGAGATAGTCCTTTTGATAAGCTTTAAATAAGAATTTATTAGACTACTCATTTTACAAGTCAGCAAAAAGTAGCTGTTTAATACATTAGGTGAATTTTTTTTTTACAAATAAAGGCTTAGTTCAATTAAACCTAATTTGTTTCAACACATTTCTAAGCAGCCTAAATTTACAGACTACTGAGCCTTAACATCCAAAACAGTTTTGAGAGTTTTGTTTTTCAAGTCACATTTGGCAGGATGTTCTGCTATTTCACATTGTAAACAAGTGTAATGAAAGTAAAAGGTTCATTAAAATAAGCACAAAATGCTCAGAGTTAAGAAACATAGCATGAAAGTGTATCTCTGCTCCTAGCAAAGAATTAGAGAAGCTCAAAAATTGCTAGCTATTTAATGCCTTATTAACACACTTAATGTTATGTTTTCAAGGTTGTTTTCATCTGCTCAATAGCAAATGTCTA